GTATTCATTAATTTTCATTTTCATGTATTAGAGGCTCTATGCCTTCATAAAGGACGTACTTTTCCTTTGTTTAAGGGTATTTGGGCAGTTTATTCTCTGTTGTATTCTCAAGCAAACAATATATGCAAGTACAGTACAATATTTTCTGAGGAAACACGCATACTTATCCTTTTTAAACCTCATTCCCGATAACCCGGCATTTTCACAAACTCGGCCACCCTTCGGTCCACATTAGGCTGAGTTTTTGAGGCTCTACTGTATTTGTATTGTATTTACAATGACACTGTAATTTATAGCAATTGTTGTTGAGTTTTCTAGACACACCTTACATACTTTTACATGACTAGTTACACTGTAGGTTTGTTCATGCATTAATGCATTACTCAACGTCACTGCCATCACGCATCATTATGGCAGCTACGAACTTTTTGACGCCATTGTAATTTTATGGAACCTCTGTTGTTAAGCAGCCCATATGTGTATATATAAAACTAATTATAATTTTCTTTTCTAACTTTCAAACTAATGCCAGTTTATGAGATATTCTATATTAAATGATGGGCATTTATTGTTGTTACTAAATTTCTAAACTTGTATTTTTAGGGATGTCTGAATCGCCTTTTACAAGAATGGAATCATGGACCTCTTGGAAAAGATGATTACATACATGAAATGTAAGTCTTGTCATTTCATTTAATTATTTCTGTTTGATTGATGTCCTGTTCATTTATCGTAACTTACATTTATGTTTTCGTATTGCTGTAAGGAACCATTTTCAATATTAAATAAAAATAATTTTAAAATATATAGTTTATTTCTAATTGTGCTAATTATTTAGCTTTTAAATTGAATAATTAATAATAAATTTTAACGGTTTCTGGAATAGTGATTTAAAGCTCAAGTTCCGTAGCCTTCGTGCACAAATGATAAAATCACGAGAACGAGCCGAAACAAATTGAGATTGATTTCTTTCTTCCTATTAAAGTATAGATGTAGGAAAATCCAGATCTTTGTCTCCATAAGGCATTGGCATTTAAGGCAAATTGCACAAAATATAATACTCCCTGCGTTTCTTTATGTAGCGAAATGACGTCATGAGCAGTGTCGGCCAATTAGAAACCAGTTTTGGTGTATTCGCTGTAAAGTACTTCTCGAGTGCTACATAAAGAAACGCGGGGACTCTATTTGACTGATAGAGTATTTTGAGAAAATATTGTCTGCTGTCTGCTTATGACAAATTGATAATACACATCCAAATGCTGCTAACCTGGTAACTGTGTTTCTGGCCAAGTATATTTGCCATCCTGCAGCTTCTTTCTGTTGACAAAGGCTGTCATCAAAGCACAAAGTTAATTCTGAAAAACACCACAAAGATTCCGTTACTTCATCTCTTCATTACTGGCAGAATTGAATTCTGCGGAGAATACTTTGAGAAAGATTACCACATTAGAAGAAATGTGTGTCAATTTATTCTTGGCTCACTCTCCTCCTAATATGTGAAAAGTATTATTATTCTCTTACAGTATTCATAATAATAATAATTATTATTATTATTTAACAAGCTGTATAATAAAATCTAGAATGGCAATTTAGTTATAAAAATAGATATAATTTCAAGACGGATAAAATAATTTTGAGTCTTAGTACAGCCTTATATAACAAAGGAATAAAAGCATAGTTAACCTTTCTCTATGAATCTCTTTCTCACTTAAAAATATTTAAAAATCCTTTTAAAAAATCTGACATCACAGAAATTTGCATTGATTTCCTGTTAAACACGAGATGATGGAATTTCCCGGATCATCCTATATGAATTCCATCATCTCGCATTTAACAGTGACTTACACTGCTTGGTTGTAGCCATTACAGGTATAGCCAAACCCATGATTGGTATGAAAAAATATCCTCAGCCTCTTCACAGGATAGAAAGAGTTAAAAATTTTATTCTGAAATTTCTAATAAGAAGATATAAGTTTTTCTTTTTATCTGCCATTCTGGGATTGTTTGGTCTATCTTTACAAGTGACACAAAGTGCATTCTTGATTTAGTAACCACTCGATATAATGAACAATTAAGTATATTACTATAATTTTACATTATCAATATTGAATTTAATAAATGTATTTTTAGGTGTCGTTACGGAGCGTGTGAACTTCATTCCGTGGCATCCTTTATCGGAGGTTGTGCAGCTCAAGAAGTAATTAAATTAGTCACGGGACAGTATGTACCTTTCAATAATACATATATTTACAATGCGATGACTGCAACTTCTTCTGTTTTCCAACTGTGATATGACGTAGAAGCGGTCATTCGCGGAGCATTTTATTTTCAATTCTGAAGTTTATATTGATGTAATTTATTGAATAATAATGCAATGATAATAAAATTATTTCATATCAGTCAGTTCTCCCAATATAAGCATGAGTCTTTTGTACTTTTACATACAAACGAGACAGTTCTGTTCTTATATACACTGTGAATCCCTCGCATAAAGCGACATTTGGTATGATTCCTCCACAAGAAAATATCGGTTCCCATAACATGATGCCTTATGCATGTATGTGACCCACAAAGTGCAAGTGCACAAGCCAAACTCGAACCCGCCGATCAAGGGTTCAGCTGAATCTTATAAAAATAAACTTGGAATTCTCATCTTGTGGACACCAGGACTAAAAGATCCCATTATTGCCCACAGAAATTTCTCCAGCAATGGTTTAAATGTGATTTTTTTTTTTTTTTTGCAATTCTTGCTGGATTTGTGGGGTAGAAATTAATTTTTGCTTTTAAATTTACTATTATTTAATAGAAAAGGGCCTCATATAGCTTAGACCTGTAACGATTTAACTCTGGTCCCAGTAATTATACCAGTCCACTATTATCGAAAGCAATTACTTGCAATGTGGCATCTGTGAACCCAAAAATTGTGATTTTGCTCTAAAAACATTGTCATTTTAATCATATTTTTCATAAAAATATGATATCAGGATACAAAAATACAGACTCAAAATGTATTTTTTTTAAAAGGAAATTCATGGATAATTTCAAAATTGAATGAATTTCAAGTGCTATAATGGACAAGAAATCCAAGTGAGTAACCAAACAAGTTACATTTTCAATATAAATTTAAATTTATTATAAATAGAAAAAGAATATAAATTTATTTTTATTCCAGAAGGCAGCATTTTAACCCTTTCGGGCATACAGCGCGGGTCAAAATGGCGTGACATCTCTCTGAATCGTCAAAGCACGCGCCACCATGAGTCGCACAGTCGGTAACGTCAGTGGGAACTGTAAGATAGTGCAAAAAGTGTCGAGTTAAATCAATTTTCCATCAGGTAAATTTACTGTATAATTATAAAAACAGAGATTAACGAAATATTCACTTTGGGCGCAACAGACTCCTCCGACTTTCTCATGTTTGGGCATAAATTCTTCCCATTTTCTTCTCTCACTTCGGGGCACGAATCTCGAGTGGCACAGATACCTCCGTATCTGTTGCAGTTTTCGTCGGGTTCCAAAATTCCTCCTGGAATAAAAATAATAATAAAATTAGGAGTAGGAAATACAATGGCTTTGTTAACTGATTTTTGGCTTCCTTTTATTGCTAATTTAATCAAATTTTTGATAACTTAGAGATTAGAATTGACATCTCCTAACAAAATGATGTCTTGATGCCGAATTTTCCTTACTCTTCCATGTCAGGATCCTTTATCCTGAACATAAACAAGAAGACATCTTTAAGGGCACTTGTAAAAAACCTTTGAACTCTAAAGCTAATTAGAGTCTAAGTTGATGAGAAGAGAAAGGTTATAATCAGTAACCTCAACACCCCTTCTTCAAAACTAAGGGAATTTTTCCTGTAATATATAGTAATTTAGAAGGGCCCCAAGCTGTAGGTTATTTAATTTATCTGTAAATCAGACCTAGTTTTTCTTATACTTATAAGTTAGTAGAAAACACTACCTTAGAGAAATCGATCGCGATCTACCGATTGGGATTAACGCCCGTTAAATAAACACGGGTAATGAATTCAAGAGAGAAACTTACCTGAAGCTATGGCAAGGAGGAGTGAAAGCAAAGCAAAACTAGTGAAAGTCATCTCTGTGGGATAAATGCGATGGTCACGACGTTCTTTTAAACGATCTCTTCCAGGAAACGGCTGGCCACGTGACAATTGCACGTTGTCGACCCTCTCGTGCGTATCTGGAACGCGAAATTTACTTCAGAAATTGAGAAATATCCCGAAGTATACTTTAAATTTCGTTCCAAAATAGAAATTAGGAAGGAAGAAGGAAACGGAAAGTGATGTCACGTAACGCGCTCTGGGGAAATGTATCAATAATTTAATTAGGAAATTAAGTCGGACCTCCCAACAGCGGAACTTTTAATAAATTAACCTTCAAATCGCGGCCAGTTTTTACCTTCTCGTCGGTGTCTGTGGTTGGGAGGTTTGGCTGTATTTTACGACTTAAGACAATATTTGTGCTGTCAAATGCAGCCATTAATATGAATTTTTTTTTTTACTTTTTTTTTGTTTATTTTGAAAGGGAGATAAACAGGAAATTCTAGTAAATGCTAATTGTTTTTCGTACGATAACGAGAGGAAAATTTATCGTATTAATTAAAATGTCAATTCGAGCAATAGTAGATATATGATTAATGAATGTTTTGTGTTTGTTAAAATTATTCAGATAGTTTATTTAGTAGGTAATAAATTCTATAATGTTGTTCGTTGATAGTATTGCTATNCCAGAATGCACTAATACTATAATATCATGGATTAATAATAAAAAATATAGAAAAATAAAAGATAGCACAAAAATTACCTTTGGTTTTCAATGTCACTTTTTGTTAATTTCAGAGTAAACCATTTTGGATTATGGTTCGAGCTATTAAAGAATTTGTCGAGAAAGAAGGGAAAGGTAAGAGATTTGATAAAAATAGTTATAACAATATTTAATCTGTGAAATTAAAATAATTAATTAATTTATAATACAGGTTTACTACCCCTCCAGGGAACGATTCCCGATATGACGGCCGATTCTAAACGTTACATTGAGTTGCAAAATGTGTAAGACAAAATACAAATTTATAAATATGAATGTTTTTATTCCTGTTTTACTTATCTCTATGACATTTATATGTCATTAGTTATAAAAGCCAAGCTAATTGCGATGTAAAGTGTGTAGCGGAGAAAGTACAAGAACTGTTGAATTCGCTTGGGAAGGTAAAAATAAATGTATATAATTTATAAATAATTATGCTATTAAATTGTTTCAAATATTTTTATTATAGCCTCAAGATCTAATTTCTGAATCAGATATACGATTGTTGTGTAAGTATAGTTTTGCATTCGTACGGGATCTTCCAAAATGAATGCTACCATTTTAAATTACCATAATTATGTTAATTGTTATCTGAAGTATGCAACACATCCCAATCGATAGAGTAATTGTCTGAGTTTTGTCTCTCATCTGCATTCAAATTTCCTTTTATCTGAATTACTCATCACCATGCAACACAAGTAACATGCAAAAACTGTAGAATTGTGGTTGAATGGGAGAAGTGCTGGCAGAATAGAAAGAACTTCAGTGCAGTGTGGCACAAGGTGCACACATTTAGAAATTATAATGGACAAATATGAAACTTTGACGGTTTTCCAATGTTTTGATGCATGTTACAACAGTCTCTGATAATAATTAATGTAATTACAATAATTTAAAATGGTAGCATTGTTTTCAGAAGGCTCTGTATATATTTATTTAAAGTATATATTATTATATTAACTGATTATTATTCATTTTAAGGTAAAAACTGTACATATTTGAGAGTAGTTCGTGGACATCCCTTAACTGAAGAATATAATGCGAAAACAGCTAAAGTTCACGAAATCAGTAAGGAAATTTTTCTTTAAAATAATTTTAAAGAAAATAGAATCTGAAATTGCCAAATTATTCAAAAAATTATTTTTAAATTGCAGCGCAACATTTAGATAATCCAGATAGTGAAATGGTATTTTATGTTTTACTTAGAGCAGTTGATAGATTTTATGGTGAATACAATCGTTATCCTGGTTACTTCACAGATCAAGTAGAACCTGATATTGTAAAATTAAAAGTAAGATTTATTAATTAATATATATACAATGTACGGACACTCTCAAATAACTGATATATCTACTTAACAGACATTTTAACAATCCCCAGACACTTGAAATAGAACATCTATTTTATTTACTGCTAAATAGCAGACAGACTTCTTAGTCTCAATGATATCTGTTGTTTGGAGGTTATACTGTATATTTATGTACACCAGTTGCGTGCCATCATTGGAAGCAGTGGATGCGTTGCTTCCCTTGTATTTTCTAAAAAAGAAATACATATTAATTTTAATTATATGAAAATAATCACACAATATTTTATCATAACTGCATTATGTATCTTATTACAAATTTCTATACTACATGTGAAAAAAAAGATAAGATTGCTATTGTATATTCGAATATTAGTGGCAGAGTGGAAGCGCTGTATTGTCAGCATCCAAAAAGCCAGATTTGCGCATGCACTTTACAGAGCACCAACCTCACCTGGTTTAGCTGGTGGAAGCCTAGGACCGTGGGTGGATGCTACACGTATACCGCATCCAATTTTATCCAGGACCGGTTCTGGGCTGTTAGCCGCCTGCTTGCTAGATATTTGGCCGCCCTCGCCCGATTACGTGAATCACGAGTAGATTTATAACTTAACCCAACCGATAAGAATTTACTGGTATGTTTTTATGATAGTTCTGTATAATTGACAGGAGTTTAAAAAAATCCATTAAAATATTTGATATTTTTATTCCACTCTCCAATTTTATATTACTCAGGGATTTCAATGTTAAACCAGTGATATTACGATTTCATATATCCCATCTCTAAGGGGATGTAGAAAAAAACGTGTACAATTCTTGTATAATGTTAAAAAATTAACTGTTACTTTGACAGCGTCATTTACAACTAAATTTAATGAATGAGAGAGATGCATGAGGTACAGAAAAAGTTCTAGAATTTATTTTCCTTACATTTACAATTTATATATCTGTTTGTCATAAAAATTTGTCTTTCCACTTTTTTCCCAAGACTACAAATATTCGAGTACAAAGTAACTGGTTTCGACTTATTTCTACTTAAGAAGTAGTTAAATAATTAAGCGATTAGGNTGTATGTGACCCACAAAGTGCAAGTGCACAAGCCAAACTCGAACCCGCCGATCAAGGGTTCAGCTGAATCTTATAAAAATAAACTTGGAATTCTCATCTTGTGGACACCAGGACTAAAAGATCCCATTATTGCCCACAGAAATTTCTCCAGCAATGGTTTAAATGTGATTTTTTTTTTTTTTTTGCAATTCTTGCTGGATTTGTGGGGTAGAAATTAATTTTTGCTTTTAAATTTACTATTATTTAATAGAAAAGGGCCTCATATAGCTTAGACCTGTAACGATTTAACTCTGGTCCCAGTAATTATACCAGTCCACTATTATCGAAAGCAATTACTTGCAATGTGGCATCTGTGAACCCAAAAATTGTGATTTTGCTCTAAAAACATTGTCATTTTAATCATATTTTTCATAAAAATATGATATCAGGATACAAAAATACAGACTCAAAATGTATTTTTTTTAAAAGGAAATTCATGGATAATTTCAAAATTGAATGAATTTCAAGTGCTATAATGGACAAGAAATCCAAGTGAGTAACCAAACAAGTTACATTTTCAATATAAATTTAAATTTATTATAAATAGAAAAAGAATATAAATTTATTTTTATTCCAGAAGGCAGCATTTTAACCCTTTCGGGCATACAGCGCGGGTCAAAATGGCGTGACATCTCTCTGAATCGTCAAAGCACGCGCCACCATGAGTCGCACAGTCGGTAACGTCAGTGGGAACTGTAAGATAGTGCAAAAAGTGTCGAGTTAAATCAATTTTCCATCAGGTAAATTTACTGTATAATTATAAAAACAGAGATTAACGAAATATTCACTTTGGGCGCAACAGACTCCTCCGACTTTCTCATGTTTGGGCATAAATTCTTCCCATTTTCTTCTCTCACTTCGGGGCACGAATCTCGAGTGGCACAGATACCTCCGTATCTGTTGCAGTTTTCGTCGGGTTCCAAAATTCCTCCTGGAATAAAAATAATAATAAAATTAGGAGTAGGAAATACAATGGCTTTGTTAACTGATTTTTGGCTTCCTTTTATTGCTAATTTAATCAAATTTTTGATAACTTAGAGATTAGAATTGACATCTCCTAACAAAATGATGTCTTGATGCCGAATTTTCCTTACTCTTCCATGTCAGGATCCTTTATCCTGAACATAAACAAGAAGACATCTTTAAGGGCACTTGTAAAAAACCTTTGAACTCTAAAGCTAATTAGAGTCTAAGTTGATGAGAAGAGAAAGGTTATAATCAGTAACCTCAACACCCCTTCTTCAAAACTAAGGGAATTTTTCCTGTAATATATAGTAATTTAGAAGGGCCCCAAGCTGTAGGTTATTTAATTTATCTGTAAATCAGACCTAGTTTTTCTTATACTTATAAGTTAGTAGAAAACACTACCTTAGAGAAATCGATCGCGATCTACCGATTGGGATTAACGCCCGTTAAATAAACACGGGTAATGAATTCAAGAGAGAAACTTACCTGAAGCTATGGCAAGGAGGAGTGAAAGCAAAGCAAAACTAGTGAAAGTCATCTCTGTGGGATAAATGCGATGGTCACGACGTTCTTTTAAACGATCTCTTCCAGGAAACGGCTGGCCACGTGACAATTGCACGTTGTCGACCCTCTCGTGCGTATCTGGAACGCGAAATTTACTTCAGAAATTGAGAAATATCCCGAAGTATACTTTAAATTTCGTTCCAAAATAGAAATTAGGAAGGAAGAAGGAAACGGAAAGTGATGTCACGTAACGCGCTCTGGGGAAATGTATCAATAATTTAATTAGGAAATTAAGTCGGACCTCCCAACAGCGGAACTTTTAATAAATTAACCTTCAAATCGCGGCCAGTTTTTACCTTCTCGTCGGTGTCTGTGGTTGGGAGGTTTGGCTGTATTTTACGACTTAAGACAATATTTGTGCTGTCAAATGCAGCCATTAATATGAATTTTTTTTTTTACTTTTTTTTTGTTTATTTTGAAAGGGAGATAAACATGAAATTCTAGTAAATGCTAATTGTTTTTCGTACGATAACGAGAGGAAAATTTATCGTATTAATTAAAATGTCAATTCGAGCAATAGTAGATATATGATTAATGAATGTTTTGTGTTTGTTAAAATTATTCAGATAGTTTATTTAGTAGGTAATAAATTCTATAATGTTGTTCGTTGATAGTATTGCTATTGTAGCAAATCTTCTCTTTATCATCATCCATTATGTACCCTGTACTCTCTTTCCTCATCCTTTGTTTCATCTCTTCCTCGTTGCCTTCCTCTCCTCTCCTTTTTTCTCCTTTCCATATCTTCTTCTCCTCCTCTCTCCTTTCCCTTCGCCTCTCCATCTCCTCCTCTTCATTTCCTCTTCTTTTTCTTCCCCTTCTCTTCTTCTCTCCTTCCTCTTCATTTTCTCTTCAGCCTCTTCCTCTTCTCCTCCTTTTCCTCTTCATTTCCTCTTACTCCTTTTCTTCCTCTTCTCTTCTTTTTCTCTCTTTTCCCTCCTCTTCTCTCATTTTTCTCTTCGTGTTTTTTTTTCTTCTTTCCCCTCTTCCTATTCTTCTTTTGTTCTCCATTTTCTCTTATTCCACTCCTCCTTCACCTCCTCCTCATCATAATCATCGTAATTATTATCATCATCACCTATCATCTATCAGATCCATACTTTGCCACCGTAATCCCGTTTTTTTTTATGACATAAACATTTCGTAATAAATTTAAAAATGAGGGTCTACTCCACACCCAAATAAAAATTTAAATATATATTTATAATTACATTTTCATCACGTATAACATGTTATACTTTATAATGTACGAGTAAATATATTTAAATAAAACCACGAGTACGCGTAATTTGATATTACCTTGACATATCAATTACCTACCCAAATACCCTCGAGCCATTATTCTAAGAATTCCGAGAACGATTCTAAGGACATTATAAAGTCCTTAAAATCCCTATCGACATCCTTGGGCAGAAAAAAGGATCTAGTTAAAGAAATTTAAGATTTCTGCACAAGGAAGTTGCCCTTTTTTTGTGAATTTTGAGGATTAATAATTGTAAAAATGAAACTTTACCAAAGAATTTTCCTGGTAAATTATCAGTAAACACTTCTCAGAAAAGTGTACTTCGTGCAAAACCTCGATATACTGTCATATTGTACGCTAGTCACGTATTGTTAATCTTAAATGACGAATAGAGTTGGTGCAATAAAGCAACGCGACACTACAGAGATGTGCCAAGGAGGGATGCCCAGTGGCCCCTTATCCTACGGGCCCCAAACCAATCTTTTATAAAGAAAAAAAAGAAAAGAAAAATGCCCGAAGTCAATACTGTACTACGTGGTGCCCCCCTAATTCAAATTTTCCTGGTCTCACGAAACTATAACCTACCCGGGAGGACTTTCAAAATGTGTTGGCACGTGAAGAAGACCCGGAAAACTCCACGTGGCCATCTCGTTGGTCGGGCTCTAACCCACGACCTGTGTTAAGAGGTTTTATCCGCTCGGAAACTGACGAGTAAATGAGGAAAGACGAACGTAACATTAATGTTGTATAAGTGTCGTTTAAGTGTAATTACTCACCGGAATTTAGAAATTAGAATCTGACTGTTCCACTTTTTTTTCTGTTCGAACGTATTTTAACAGAAGAATTCTTGGTGCACTCTCACACCTTCCTCGTACCGAACACTGGCAGATAAAAGTTATATTTTCCTCGTAACAGTTGGTTTAACACTTGGTATTGTAACAATAAAAGTGTTTCAGTTCACTTGATAGCCTATTTACAATTTTAAATATGTAAATGGGACAAACCACATCACACACACACACTACGTGTGCGGCGTGTTAACGAGTGGGGTGTTAGCACTTACTTTCAAGGCATTTTCTTTTTTATATTAAAAGTGAAATTAAAAATAAATTTGAAAGCCGGTGCGGATTATACGCGATAAATTATGCAAATTACAAATAATTTGCGTAAATTTTAATACAAATTGATCAGGTTTCGCGTTTCACAAAACAAATCCTGAGTTTTCTGATAAGAAATATAATGTTTTTTTTGCCTTATTTTCCTTAAGATTCATGGATCGGTAGGGTCGGACCGGCGTAATAAGGCAAGGCAACACGCGGGGAGGAGTTTTTGTAGGAAACTGTTCCCTGTTTAGGTGTTGCCACTCGAAGAAAACCCCCGAAAAAGTCTACGTTGATCAGGCACGAAACCACGACCTGTTTTGGGTGGTTTATTTCTACCGGGATACCTCAACTCCATTACTTTAAATGTTTAAACGAACGGGTATCAAGTTGCGGGAGTAAAATTATTGGAATGTTGAATGGTTCTGTTAACAAACCGGGTTATTTTGACACTATACAGATGTGGTGACAACACACGTTGTTCTAGTTTTGAGTCTACCTCGTTATTTTTTATGACGAAACCGAAATCGTCATTATAAATTGCAGTAACACACGATATTTCGTCAAGTGTTTTAATTATTTCGCTCTCATTTTGTTTGAGTTTATTTGCATACGACAATGCGAATTGACGATGCCTCCCGCTATGGCTTTCTATGGGAAACTGGCCCCCTATTTAAGTGACTTTCCCGGAAGGGGTGGCTACATTTTGAACACGGGTCGTTTTCACGAGAGTTTCCAATATTTGTGAAATGCACGGCTACATTCGTTATTTGCAGTTACCGTAAAGAAAAAGGAACGTTATGGGGTGGCGGCCCGATATATCTAGAAGACGACATCCCGAAAATTCCCGTGTTTTTCGACCCATCCGGATTCGAACCCGGGTACTCCAGCGCGGTAGGCTGACACCTTAGCGGCTCGGCCATCCGGCCTTTCCGTTACTCGTTATCGAGTATTAAACGGATTAAATTTTATTCGTCCGTTTAAAGTTTTGCTCCTTTACTAAATAGAATTATTCTATCGATAAATTACGATAAAATTTAATATTAAAATGGCGAAATTTTTCACCGTAATATCTGACAAATTGTAAAATTTTCTACTGGCAACACTGACGACGATAAATTTTACTGCCGCTAGGCTTCGCAAGTCAAGAAGCAGGTGAGATTCAAAATAGCGTAATGTAATGCTGTTATACGCGTGTTTATCGTAAATGCAGTTTTATTTAATATTAATAAGGTACTTTATATGTAAATTTAATAAGTGACAGAGATGAATTGGTGGTAGAATTTTACTTATGGAGATTCCTATGATGGCACTTCCGGAAACTAGACGACGACACGTGTCTTTGAATAGTTAACATAGATGTCGCTATGGTTTGCACCTATTACGTCACAGTTTGGGATACAACATGTGGATGCAGTTTGCGAGAAGTGTAAAAGGTCGACACAAGTTAATTTTATCATAAATGCAAGTTGAACACTTTGCCATTCGAAGGCACGTTTAAAGGAAAGTTTGACAAGGTTTTTTGTGGGACCATTTTGTCCTTTGGTATCTAATCTGTGTAGACTATGTTGAATATGATGTGTTTGGTGGTGGGTGCGAGTTGCCAAATGGCTGTGGAGTTAGCGAACTTCATAAGGCACGCAATGATGGTTTCCTTGTTTAATTCGGTTGCAATGAAAAACGATGGTACGGAAAAGGTGGTCGGAATCGACGAGATAGTCGTTGGCGAAAGGAAAAGCAAGAAAGGGCGGTGGAGTTTGCCACAAAGATGTTTCACGTGTAAAGTGGACGATGGGTCTGAACTGGGTTATTGGCGAGTTTGTAGATGTGGGAAGTGTAGTCTACATGGACAAATAAAGACTACAATCAATTCAATGATTTAGAATGGGTGGAAATGTTGCATGGCATGCAAAACGTGACAAAAGTTTTGGGAACCAGTAACGGACATTTCTAAGCAAAAAATTGAAAGAATTTGACAGTGCATTTTATGGAAGATTTGTGTGATTCGTATTTATACACTTTTATGTATAAGAAGCTTCTGCAATGGGGAAAATTAAAACTAGGAATTTGTTTTGATATTGTATACTGGCACAATGAAGTGACCTCTTAACCAACACTTGGCAAGTTTTCCATCTTTATTTAGTTAGTACACCGTGCTATACATTTGCGTTTCGGGTGTTCACCCCTCCTCAGCCAACTAAACAAGCATAAAACAACACAAAAAACCTTAATTAGCTATGGCTGAGCATAAACCAAACCTATCATAAAATCAATAAAAAAAATTTTTTTTTTTTTAAATTATTAAAACATACCTCACTCCAAATTTTAGACACCTGACCAATGCATGGCTTATCTGTAGGCAACCATAAATAGTCCAGTCCAAACTCAAAACAAAAAATTTGTTTTGAGTTATTCATCTGGCATATGTGTAAAGTGTATCCGGGAGCGGGTTGAATTCCAGTCTGGAAAGAGCCAGAAACTGTACTTTCTGCCCTGAAAACAACCCCTGAGAAATCTGAAAATTGTAATATGAAGCTTGTCGAAGAGAGCATTAAGAGAATGGAAAAAAATTCCTAAGAAGAAAGTTCGGGTTGTGAAAGAATTGGCCGAACTCTATTTGTCCAATCCTTTATGAAAGAAAATAAATTAAAACAAATTTTACCCACCATTGACATATTTCTATTTGAATGCCAGTGAAGTCAGTAACGATGCTGGTTTCCTTAAGGGCTCCATAAGTAAAATTCTACCAAAGTTACTGTTTTCATATGTAAACAAATGACTACAGACAGCTTCTACCATTAATTCCCACAAATGAACTGTTTATCTAGATCATATTAATGATGATTTATGCCTTTATTAGGTACAGACAACCACAAAAGTCTACATATAATATGCCAAAATGCAATGTCAAAGAAACGACAAGTTACCAAAATGTGGGTGAGGAGGGAAAGAAATACGGTCTTCCAAAAAGGTGGCTACCATTTTAAATTATTGTAATTGTGTTGATTATTATCCCAAGACAGTTGTAACATATATTAAACCACCGGAAAACTGTCTGAGTTTCAAATTCGCATTTCATTATAATTTCTCGATGCGTGCATCTTGTTTCTGGCGGCACAAATTCGACCGATACTCAGATTCTTCCTATGCTCGCTATGGTACATCTGTCATCGCTCCTTTCATGGCAGTTGCAATTCTATGGCAAATATTCTATATAGGAGCTGTAGAATAATCTGTATTCTACAACCCCTGCAGATTACATGTGTATCTGCAGGAATTGTAGAATGATGATCGATTCTGGCTTTGCAAACTGCAGAACACAAAATGCTTTCTCTGTTGTAGATTTGCCATTTTTGTTTACAGCATATGGCACTTTCTGGAGGTAGTAGACGAGAAGATAAGACTCAGATGGTTATTCTATCAATTTGTGTAGGTCGTACGTGAACTATGCTTCTTGGATAATAATTAATATAATTATGAGTAATTAAACTTGCAGCATTCATTTTGGAAGACCTGCAAATTCATTAAGAAAGATTGGATAGATTTTAGTACCCAGACAAGTCGGTTACAACTGGTAGAAATTTCTGCTGTAAAGAATTGTAACGTTGTCTCTGAAAGTTAAAACTGCCAGGTTTTCTGAAAAAAATGTTTTTTCTGAGCAACATTAAACAACAAAGTTTAGCACCGTTTTCTACGCTTGCCGTCCATCTTTTTCCATTACGTGCATTGGAGACATTACCGGTTGTAACTGCCGTGTCCGGATACCTAAAGTCTGTCCAAAATATTACCAAACAGTTAAATAATACAACGGCAAAATGTTTATTTTGGCTTAATGTTATGTCGCAAGTCTTACTGCATGTCATGAAGGAAACAAAAAACAATTTTGAATAATATGTTTAATGTATGTTAGTATTTTGTAACAGCTTGCAGTCTTTTAGACATTGAAGAAATAAGATTTTCAGTAATTTCTGGTGTAATTTTGTTAGAGCACAGCTCCTCAAACTATCGAGATCTATAGAGCTAGGATATCAGCATCCTTACATCTAGCAGGTGAAATAAAATAAGAGATAACTTCAGGTTATTCAATGCTATAAAAGACCCATTTTTACAATCGAAGCCACATGCATGATATTGTTATTCTGTCGAAAAGTTCAGTCGTTCCCAAGTTGTAAGCTGTCCACAGATAATTGCAGATTAGCTTGCAGTATATTTGTACGTTGTATTCGATCAATATTACCTTTAATGAAAACCTAATCTGGAAGCTGACATCAACTCCCAAACCATTACATGATTTCCTCCATGCTTTATTATAGGTACAAGATTACCTTTTTTTTCCTTCAAATTTTGCCATGACCACTGCAACTGAATATATTAAACTGGCTTTCATCAGTGAAATTCCAGAAGTTTAAACCTTTTTTAATATACTTTCTTGCAGTCTCTTAAGTTGATTTGTAGAAAATATATGGGGTAAGTGGTTTCTCCTTGGCAATATCAAGATAGCCAGAAAATCTCATATGCTTTCAAGCAAATAAATACCTGTAGCTTGGTAAATTTGGACAATCTCGGGGTTCTTTTTTAATGTCTATTGCTCGGTATTCTTGCCTGACCAGTTGAAATTTAGAAAATGAATTTTCCGAAGATTCGTCGTTCCAAATTGCCGTCCGAATACTTGAGATTTTCCTTTGTTTTGAAGCTTTATAATCAAATTTTGAATATCTAGACTTATTTCACTCCTCGATGCCGTATTGTTTAAATTACCAATAAGATTTTAAAACAGGTATATGTTGAACTTAATAATGCAATTGATGCTTACATTTACAATTAAGTGCAGAATTTAGTGTACATAGTTTGCATAAACAATCATTCAATTTTATAATGTATGCATATTTCTTGAAATTTAATAATGATAATAATGAAATAATAATTATATTATGTACTTATTTAGAAGATTCATATTTATGCAAATCAACAAAGTGCCTAGTCTCGAGTTGTGTCGGTAGCAACACGAACATGTCAGGAGTGTCAGGTGGTACCAACCCATTCAGAACGAGTCAATACCGTATCGTGTGACATTCCCAACACATTTGTGTCATTACTCACGATTTGACACTAAGCACTCGTGTATATGTAGACATTTCTGACTGACAGTAGAAGTTACTTTTAGGCCACTTATTTATATACATATACATGAGTGGAGTAACTTCTATTCCTTTCACTATCCACATGATCAATTTTATTATGGAACATTACTTATTTGTGATATGATTAGTATGTATACAAACCACTTCCTTCACAGTGCATGTTTGACACAAAGTATATGAATAATATAGATGTTTTCTTATATTTTTATTTTATTTTAAAGGGAGCGTAAGCTGGGTTTACGTCATCATACGAACCACTACGAATGAACGAGACAAACTAAAACAAAATATTGTCAGCATCGTACTACGTTGACGCAAGCTAAGATAGGTCATGATTGGTTAAATGGCTTTCGAACATTAGTTGTGAGAAATTAACCAGTCCGATGAACCAAAGTTTGGAAAAAGTAGAGATGTTCTCGACTCCCAACAGATGTCGAATTCTTGTCAAAAGATGACAAACTGGCAGTTTGTATCCATTTTGTAGTGGTTCTTATGCGAACGTGAGCTTAGCTCTATAGATCTTGATAGTTTGAGGAGCTGTGCTCTAGGATATCAGACACAAGTATATGCTCTTCAGTAACCATTTTTGATTCAGTACTAACTAAACCTTACATGATATTAAGTGTCACATGACAAGGATTTTGAATTTTATAAATTTTATATAAAACAGCCCAAAGTCCTCACTTGCTTAGGTCCTCATGTAACTGAAAATCACTGTTATAGAATGCCTTCATATTGATTTTGTATGAATTCAAAATCCAATAAGTAATGTAATGATAAACCAGCAGCACTATTACTAAGCCGTAGACAAGATTCCAACTAATTCAAACTCCAGTTTCCACTGAATTTGAACAGATTTATTTTAACACACAAAACTACTGAAATTGAAAAAATCACGTGTTAAACATTCACTTGATTCTCTCTCTTCTCCGCATAAGCTGTCTTCGAAATTCCGTTCTTGTCCTCCTCCCGAAAATATTTTGAGACGTCATAATTGTGTGCGCGCAATGTCTATTGCTAGCGGTCTGTTGCTTTCTGAGATCTCGATTAGGAAAATAATCTAAAGTTATTTAACTTATCATATTTAAATTTTGTGCCAAAATAATTTAATTGTAATTAAAATGATGCCAATGATTTATTCATTCATTCATTATAAAATGATTTTTATGATTAAGAATTACTCAAAAATCTTTGGGTATTTTTTTTTTTTTTATATTTATAACACATTTCCTCAATTCTATGATGCGTCCCAAATTTGGAATCAAATTTTAGACCTTTCATCTGGCATTTTAAATGTTAAAAAGGAACGCTCAAACACGACTGGATTTTTATTGGGATATAACATGGCTAATTAATCGTTAAGAAACAAAAGAATTTGGAATAGAGGTAGGCAGTTAAATTAATTAAGCCGCCGTCTCCTCTTTAACTTTTGAATATTGCAGATATTTTCATCAGACAAATCTGTTTTTTTTTTTTACCTTAATCACTTATATTTGTTTTTTATTTAAATTTTTTCGGTTTTCCAGAATATTAGGTATTGACATTAAGGCTGTGTACACATTAGGCGTTTTGGTAAAGTGCGTTTTAAAGAATCAAGAGTTCTGCATAGGCATAGGCATACATACTCAAACGCGCACTTTTGGCCAAGCGCGCGTTGATAGATTTTTGTTAAAATGCACGTTTTACGGGTGTCAGCCGCACGTTTTGAGATATATGTGCTGCCATGTTGTTGTACATTCGATCGTGCGCTTTCGGGTAGAGTGGACGTATGTTGGCCGAATTGGAGAACGATCATTTCGATATTGATCTATTTAGTGATGAAATCTAAAAGAGACCAGCCATCGTCAAATGATTTTATAGATATTCTAAAAGAATTAAAAAATTTGGGTTCATATTATCTTAGTTTTGGATACAATGTCAGAAACATTCCATGCGTCAGTCTATCTCGTAATATTGGGTGCACCCAAAATTCTCTTTGCCTCTGCCATTGTCTTTTATAGTGACGATGAAGGAGGCACACACAAGCAATTACTTTCACGTCCATTTCCAAACTGAGTCAGTGCTCACGCTCCACTAAACGGTCATTGAACGCCAAGCTAATGCGCGTTTAACGCAACGCAAAACGCCTAATGGTTGAAAGAGTCTAAAAACATGTTATTCAAATATGAGATCTTATTTAAAAATACCTTTCCGTACTTTTTGGAAATGTATCTTACATAATGTTGCATGTGTTCCTAATCAATGTATAGTTTATTTAAAATTACCTTTTTTTCAGATTATTGTAAATATGGAAGAATGTTTCATCAATCATCACCAGTTCTCGGATGTAATTGCAAGAGTTCCTGTATTTTTTCAAGTTATCAGTATGAAAGACAGTTTCTACTTATGGATTGGAGACAACGGATGTTTCAAAAATTTGGCAGTGGCCATGAAATCGAAGTTTGCGAAATTTCCGCTTTCGACGTTAATTATGGGTAATCAGGCAGATTATGTATCTACGAGTTGGGCAAGCAAACTCTCTCAAAAGACTGGAAAACAAGTGTTTGTCAGTCACAATCTTTCCGTTTGCGATAATAATTTTATGAATGATTTATATTCGAGATTATGCGAAGAAATGAAAATTAATCCAGATAAATTTTAGTTTAATCAAATAAAGCAATTTATAAAAATGTTTATTAAATCCTTCATTGAAAAACTACTGCGTATTAATCATGTTATAAATAGTTTATTTAGGGCCCAACATGTCTTCTGGTCTGACCCATTTGTCAAACTGTTCGGCCGTTAAACCTGATGACAATGCAGATTCTTTCAGAGTTGTTCCTTCTCTGTGAGCCTTTTTGGCAATTTGAGCGGCTTTGTCATATCCTATGTGAGGATTGAGCGCAGTTACCAACATCAAAGATTCATTCAATGACTTTTCAATATTCTCTCTGAAAATGAATTTTATTACATTAATGTTTCTAAAGACTATAACAAAAAAGAAACTGATCGCAGACGTACCGGTTTGGTTGAATTCCTTTCACGCAGTTAACTGTAAAAGAAATCGAACTATCTGCAATTAGACGTATGGATCGCAAGACGTTTGCGACCATCATCGGCTTGAAAACGTTTAACTCAAAATGGCCGTTACTTCCGCCGACACTCAGTGCCACGTGATTTCCAATAACTTGTGCAGCCACCATTGTAATTGCTTCACACTGTGTAGGATTTACTTTACCTGTAATTATCCGACTTTAGTTTCTCATACTACATTAAAATTTCATTTTAACTTTTTAAATACCTGGCATTATGCTGCTACCCGGTTCATTTTCTGGCAAGGACAATTCCCCTAGACCGCAGCGTGGACCGGATGCCAAGAAACGAATGTCATTTGCTATTTTCATTAAACTACACGCAATCACATTTAATGCTCCTGAAAGCTCTACCATTGCATCGTGTGCAGCTAGTGCTTCGAATTTGTTAGGTGCCGTCACAAATGGTAATCCTGCAACCATTTAAAGTATGAATAATTTTGATAATTGCATCAAAGATTTGTCAAATGTAGATATTATACTGTATAACAAATCTTGCTGCATCCAGAAAAATAACACCAAATATAAATAAATGGATTACCTGTAATTTCTGATACTTTGGCAGCTACTTTCTCTGCAAAACCAATACGTGTATTGAGACCGGTTCCCACTGCCGTGCCTCCTGAAAAGTTTAACATGTTTACTATTTAGAAGTCCACTTAATAAATTAATTGTCACAAAAATATACCTGCTGCTAGAAAATAAACTCTGGGCATGCATGCTTTGACCCTTTCGATTCCAAACTCAATCTGAGTAGCATAGGCACTAAATTCTTGACCTAATGTTAATGGTACAGCATCCTGCAAAGAAATATATCATGAAAATAATTTATTTAAAAGGATACGTGCAGTCTGATCCATGCAGAACATTACATTTTAAGCATTACTATCGTAAATGTTGTTAACACTTATTTGCCCAATAGCCGACTATTTTAAATGCATCACATTGTTTAATAGAGAGGTTGCGGCCGAAGTTTTCATCGCAAAAACGTGTACGTCGGACGTTCAGCACCGCCTTCCTGTAAGTCTAGAAGTTTGACAATGGCGTTTGGAACGTTAGTGGAATCATGCTCGACGTTCCAAATGCCATTGTCAAACTTCTAGACTTACAGGAAGGCGGCGCTGAACGTCCGACGTACATGTTTTCGCGATGAAAACTTCGGCCGCAACCTCTCTAATATTAAAAACTAAATTTCTTCTATTAGTAGTAATAATAAGTACAGTAAAGTGTCAAGAATTTGATTGGGCCATTGAAAAACATTAATCCTTTCAATGGTAACTTTGTTATTGTCATTCTTTCATCTTTACATTGTTGATGTTCTAACATTAATTCTGAAATTATATTTAAACAAAAATACACTAATCGTAGTGATTCTGTAAATTATATTTTGAATCTTTGTAAGTATTTTTAATTCCTTATGAATTACTAACCTGAACTTAAAACACTTCAAATTCAAGTTTTACTTAAAATGCTGAGTTAATTAACTCAGCATTTGAAAATCCGGATGGGGTCGGATCTCAATTAGTCCAGATTTTTGATGCTTCGCTGCATTGGAAAAAGTAAAAGCTATTACTCTTGAATCATGATTCAAGTTCCTATTTAGATCCTGGGTGAATTAATCTGGATATATCTGACCATCCCATTGTGGGGTTCTGTATGCATTAAGACCATACAATAATCTTAATGCATACAGAATGGAAAGAGATAGATGTAAATATGTACATTCTGCTTATAATCATGGGTAATGTTCTAAATTAGGTCTCAAAACACACACATACTCAACATTAATGAAATTCTGATCATAAGAAGTAATAACTGAGATGATAATGGATAATGCCAAATTTACATAAAAATGTGCACTGTTTAGAATTTTTCGTAAAATTGAAGAGAAGGCATCAAACTGACATAAGCGTCCGCTATCTTTGGACAAATAGACCTTTCAAACTTCTCTTTTCATGCTAACTGCCGCAATATGCGAGTGTTAATTGCTTATTATCAGTTATTATCAATCAGCTCTTTAAATGTTAATCATTAAGTTTTTTAGACTTGTTTGTGAGAAAATAGAATAAGTGCTGACATTGTGCTAACTGTTGTTAAAGTTGTTATCAGGCAAACAATACTGGATGAATTAATAATTAACTTGAAGATTTATTAAATAGTTTTAACTACAGTTAAAACTATTTAATAAATTTTTACAACCCCCAATTAACCATCACATCGGTTAACCGACCATTCTAGTTGGCAAATTTCAAATGTCCGCTAGTGATGTGGCATTACAATATTTGGCTATGTCTTGGCTACTTTAATATTATTTTTGTTAAATTTTTGCATGTTTTAGCTGGCATCAACGGCTCGACCATTGAAGGGAGGGCAGTATTTAAACGCGACTTAATTTTCTAATTATGAGTGGTTGTTTGTTTCGTGAGCAATAAAACAATTTAAAAATAATTTTTAACGATACAATAGCGACGATTATTATTTTTTAAAAGAATTTGTTAGGCTAAACATCGATGAAAATTCAACG